TATTTATTTTTTATTTTTATTTTGCTACTTCAGCTAACAGCTCTGTGCTTCAGCACAGAAAACTAGGCTCTCCGGCAGAAAACTAGGCTCTCCAAACCAGCAACAGGTCTCTCAACCATACGAATAGACTCTTCCACTCTTTTCAATAGCTTTATTGGTGGTGCTGCTTACTCTGACTCTGCCATGCCATCTTCTTAACGTTTCCTACTTCTCTCCCTTCTGTTTCTTCACTAATTTTCATAACTTCTTTTAGCCAAATATGGCCATTGTTCTGAGGCAGATGCATACACATCACTTGCCGGTCACATTTGGAAAAGCACAAATGGCTGGGTTTTTCCAGCCAGTGGTGAATCCGGACTGTTGTGGGAAAATTTATATCTTTCTCTAATTATATATTAATATAATTAGAGAAATGCTCTCTTTAGCAGAGATGCCTTCAGGGTCCACCAAAAAATTCTGACAGACAGTTGCAAAATTCTGTGACAACCGATTACAACCACATCACACATCAAGGAATGGTCAAATCATAGTACATTTGGACTTGGGAATTATTGATCATACATCGCATGGAGAGAAAAGTTGTTGCACAAATATGATAATTATCTTACACCTGGCAACACTAATGCTAGAGTTCGGCTTTCCTGGACACTACGCTGTTTTTCCTGACTTATGCAAGTCTAGCCCTCTTAACTTGCCTTCCAGTCACTTCCTGCCCGTCATCCTATCATGTATATCCTATGAAACAGTTTTGTGTGGAACGTTCTACAGTCAAACCAGCTCTTCTTCAGCAGTCTTTAGCAGAGGTTTTCCTCCCTGCACCAGGTTTTCTTTCTCATTATTACAAAATCTTTCCCACAACATGCCTGGTTTAAGTGTCAGATTAACTGCCTGGTCATGAATGATATTTGTATTGCTGGTAAAAAAAAAAAAAAACAACAACAAAAACTAGGGAAATGTCTGCATGCCATTTTTGTTGTGTTTCACAAGCCAAGTTTTACTAATTTCCCCAGCTTCATTGTCATTTTTATATCATGAAGAAGGCCCTCATCTTAAATAATACAGGGCTACATGACATTAAATACTTTTCTGGTTTCTTTTATGTTCTCTGTAGGAGTCCTCAGCACTCTCTTGGAATAATCTTATAAGGCCAGCTACTCTTGGGAGGTTTTATCCCTTTTCTTTTGGATAATATCTCCTAGTATGTTTCCTTTTGAAAAGAATTTTAAGAATTTTTTTATTTTATGGGTGGATGATCGTTTCTACCTGTCCCAGGCCGAGCATCAGGATCTGCCATACTGTAGCAGGCGAACGGATCAACCTCTGGAGAGTCTCTCCTCTGCTCCTTTACTCTAAATGTCACAACCACACCCAGTCCCTTAATGGAAAATGTGACATGAAAGGAGAGCGACCTTGCTCTGATCACCCAATATGCACCATTTGGAATGGCTCCAAAACACGTCTTTCTCATCACCCACCATTTTTTTGCACCTAAAAACACTAATTAATGGGGATTACATGAAAATCCTTTCATTCGTGCATGATGTGAATGTAACTTAAGAGCAACGAAAAAAGTCATAATACACAATAATACATTCTGGTTATTAAAAATTAAGAATTAAAACCATTATTCTGTTTTTTTGTATTTTGATCTTTATATTGTCCAACTCTGATGGCCTTTGATGCTTCCTCTTTTTCAAAACAGTTGCTGATTTTCTTCCATGTTCTGATTAATGGTTTTCCAAACAGAAGTTTGATGTCTTGCCATAACAGGTGGTTCTTTAGCATCCAGCACCCTATAGACATTAAACCACAGATTGCAAAAAGTAAAAGAAAATCTTGACTCAGACTAACACCACAACACCATCTGTCTCTGAATCCAAAAGACAAATGTTAATTCCACTCTGCTAGAAAAAAAACAAAAATAAAAAAACACTGCTTGTATCAGCCGATTTCATCAGAATTAATTTAAATTTCATGGAGTTTTGAATAAATGCCTTATAGCCAAAGTAGCTCTGACTGGACAAATAAACCACTTCTATCAACAAGGAAATAACTGTTGTAGGAACAAATAATACTTGCAAATTAGCTGCTTTAGAGCACAGTAATGCTTTGTTTTCCTTTGAGATGTGGAATGAATTGATTAATGCTGGTGAGCAGCCGTAAACTTTGGGGAAATTAATCTCAAGTTCAAGTTAAGAGAGCCTCCTGCTGTGAACTTGAAATATCACAAATATTTATAATTGAACAAGAAAAGGAAATTATATAATCTCTCGTCTTTTAATTCTCTAGAGTGCCTGTCAGTTCTCAAATCTCATTAAGCCTGAGGCTTTCTTTGTTTTATAGCATCTATAATTTGTTGTTTCCTTTAAAATTACATGAAAACTATTAGTAATTGCAACCCAAAGCGGCTGATTAATGTTTCAAGAATGTTTTAAACACGCTTGGGTAAAAACATTGATTTACATTAGGACATGAAGGGTTGTTTTTATGATATATTTTGACAAATATATGCACCAATTATTTGAGCAGCCAAATATGATAATATCAATGTAACTTTTTAATTATGATACATTAATACAAGAGCTCCAGCTTTTTAAAGAGTATAGAGTATAAGGAGAGTATTTCAGGTAATCAGCACAAGTAAAACAAAAAGCTGTGACATTTTTAAAGCATTTTCTTGAGAATTAAAGGATCAATATGAAATCAAATAATAGCTCATCACACAAGATCAGTGAGAAGCTCCATTGGAGATTGGTTTGGTTTCAAAGTGAGCATTTCAAAGGTAAACTTAATCATTACCTCATCAATCAACATAATAATGGAGAAAGTTACAGTTGGTTTTGCTGTAATATTTACAAAATAAGAATTAGGTTTGTCACAAACACATAGTTGTGCTTGAAAATTTATATACCCTTCCTTTAAAAACTGAAAAAATAAAATAAATCAAAAATGAAAATTGTAATAATAAATACTCTCTAAGAAATTATGGGTTGTTTTTCTAACTCAACTGCTAGGTTGAGGATGTTGGATAATTTAAACAGGTTTCATTGAATGGGTATTCTAAGAATCCAATTTACTTTTGTTGGGCATGGAGTTATCTAAGCTGTTGGTTAGCAATTTTCTATAATGTTGTGTTGGTTTATTTTTGTTTACCCAACACCTTTAGTTGATGTTTGAGCATGGACAACATAGCACGGCCAAATGACAAAATTTGATATGACCAGACTGCATGGACTCAATTCAACACAAAGCTAGTATTTGTGACATACTCAGATTTTTTCCTACCACATAGCTGATTTTATGATTTATATAAAGCTTCATATAGCCATTAAAAATTAGGTTTGTAAGGCACTGTTGAGTACTACTTTCAGGAATCAACTGGTATGCTAGAAAGCCAGATATATGCTTACATGGTGATAAGTCTGCATTTTTTTTTCTTTTTTTTTTTTTTGTTGAAGTGTGCTTTGGCCACATTTCAGCAAGTGCTTATAAAATAAGTCAATAATAAATCAATTACTAATATTTTAAGGTATTCTTTCTTTATTATTTTTCCCAAGAAACTACTGAATGGACTAGTTGCCAAGGAAACATTTTGCCAAGGTTATGTTTCAACAGTGTCACACCTCAGTTGGCTTTTTCACCTCACTGTTTCTTCATAGGCTGAAGTAACATGGTGGAAAGCAGAGTCCCCCAGGTCGCAACCATATATATAAACTGTTCCTCACCTATTGCGGGTAGTCTTCTCTTTTTTCCTCTAAGCTCAGGTCCTCTTCCTGAGATCTTGAAGCTTGAGGGTTCTGCGCAGTATCTTTGCTGTTCCTAGAACTGCACTCTTCTGGACCGAGATGTCTGATGAATTTCCAGGGATCTGCTGTAACCACTCTTCAAGTTTGGGGTTCACTGCCCCAGGGGCCCCAATGTTCGACTGATGCCTTGCCCTGCAATCTGAGAGTTGTCGGTTCGAGCCCCTTTCAGTGTCGTGTCCTTGGGTAAAACACTTCACCTGCATTGCCTAATGATGGTAGTGAGAGGGCCCGGTGGCACCAGTGTAAAGCAGCCTCACTTCTGTCAGTGAGCACTAGGGCAGTTGTGATTACAATGTAGCTTGCCAACATCAGTGTGTGAGTGTGTGTGTGAATGGGTGAACGGCTGAATGTAGTGTAAAACACGCTTTGGTCAAGTCCCCTGACTTGAAAAAGCGCTATATAAGTACAGACCATTTACCATATACCATAGTTATATGTCAGAAGCTAAAATAAAGTTGTCATCATAGGATAGGCATTTTTAATAACTCATCAGTTTTCATAAGATTGTCTGACCTACTCTATAACTAATATACAAAAAAAGAACTCAAGTGACTAGTGAATCTTAGACTGTCTGAAATGAATCCCATTGAATTTGGAGCTCATTTTTCTGTTGTAATTCTGTCTGTCACTCCAAAGTTGTTATAATTCGCTAACTTATAATTTTTTTCTGTTCTCCTCTTAAGATGATTTCTATTTAGGCACGTTTTTGATCATACTGTTTTTCCTCTTGCATTAACAATATAAATGCAACACCTAGCATGGATAGGTCATAGGCAGATATGATAGACAGGTGATCTGTGCTGAGCTGTTGTGACCTTTCTAACCTTTTAGTGAACTTTTGCAACCTTCTGACCAGCCGATTAGTGTCCAGCTCGTTCCTTCCTGATTAGTTTGAAAATTTGAGGCTATTTGAACGACCTTTTCACTATAAAGGTCTGCTT